GAGAGAGACACGGAAGCCCCATGCATGTGAGATCCAGGGAGTTCTGGACCCAAATCCTGACACTGAAACACAGTTCCTTCCTTTGTGCAAAGGGGGGTGGGTGGGTGGGGGAGATCTCGAGCATGTACGCAGAAGGAGGGAACCGCATGGCCTGAGGTGCATCAGTGTGAGGCCTCTCCTCCGCCTCCATCTTGCAGGACGATGTTTCTGCGTCTGGCCTCCCTGGTGCTCCTCCTGTTGTCTTTGTGGAATCAGATCACGTGCGGGGGAAACATGGAGGCAGAAGGATGCAAGGCCTGTGGCTACAATTACAGAGAACTTCCGGTGAGATGGCAGTGCTGTGGGGGGGGGTGGCATTCTTGGGCTTTAGAGGTAGGACAGACACCATTGGAGCTGGGAGCGTCCTCCCTTGGCTCTGGAGGAAGCTGTACATCGCACGAGTGTTTATAAAACGCTGAAGCCCCCACCCGCGCCGTTAGAGAGTGTGTTGTTTTCCTATGCTTGCCGGCAATTTGGGGCCTCAGCTGCTTGAGCCTCCACGTCAGAGGGTCCGGTCTACCAGTTTCTTCCTTCTTCAGTGCTGGGAGACCCGTCTGGGCCAGGAGATGTACAAACTTGTGATCTTTGACCTGCTGATGGGCCTGTTGGTCATGCTGTTGGTCCAGTTTCCTAGGAAGTAAGTGTCCTGCCTCCCCTCTCCCCCCCCCAGCCCTGTCCTACTGGAGCAGCCCCCACCCCCATGGGACAGCTGTCAACTATTCTCCCTATTTTCATTTTGACTGGAGTCTTTACACGGGCAAGGCAGTTTGTCTCTGACTTAGATAGTCTAGCCCTCTTTATTATTTCGTTTGCCACATTTATTTGTTGCTATGCACGTGTGTTTGTGTGAGCATACGCTCTGTGCTTGTGTGCGGCCCTGCATGTCTTCCTCTGGCACGCTCTCTGCCTGTTTCTTTGAGGCAGGTCTCTCTCTCTCTCCCTGAACCTGGGACTCAACGTTTTCTTAGCTAGGCAGGAAGTCAGCAAGCCCAGGCAATTTTCCTCTCTCTGCCCCTCTCAGTGCTGGGGTTACAGCAGGCATACATACCACGATGCCTGGCTTGTTAAGTGAGTTCTGGGGTCTTAACTCTAACTCTGGTTCTCATGATTGTCCAGAAAATGCTTTGTACGTGTGTCGTCGTGTGTGTGTGTGTGTGTGTGTGTGTGTGTGTGTGTGTGTCCCAAGACAGGGTTTCTCTGTAGCTTTGGAGCCTGTCCTGGAATTCACTCTGTAGCCTCGAACTCACAAATATCTGCCTGTCTCTGCCAACCGAGTGCTGGGTTCAAAGGCGTGTGCCACCACCGCCCGGCTTGTATGTGTCTATTTTAAAGATGCATTCATTTTAGTTATATTGTGGAGTGCTGGGGTAGGGTGTGGGTTTGTGTGTGTGAATACAGGTGCCACTGGGAGCCGGAAAAGAGTGTGCCATCCATTGGAGCTGCAGTTACAAATGTTTGTGAGCCACTTGATGCAGGTGGTGGGAATTGAACTCTGGTCCTCTGGAAGAAGAGTCTCCTGGAATTATATATATTAGGCTGGCCCTGAACTCACAGAGACCCATTTCCCTCTGCCTTGAAAATGTCAAGAATAAAGGCGTGCGCCACCACACCTGGCTCAGTTTAGGTCCTTAACCACTGAATTCTCTCTCTCTCTCTCTCTCTCTCTCTCTCTATATATATATATATATATATATATATATATATGAATGAATGAAACAAGCTATTTTACAATCAACCCCAGTTCCTGAACTCTCCCGTTCTCCCCTGTTCCCCCTATCAACACCCATCCCATCCCCTTTCTGCTCCCCAGGGAAGGTGAGGCCTTCCATGTGGAGTCTTCAAAGTCTGCCATATCATTTGGAGCAGGGCCCAGGCCCTCCCCATGTGTCTAGGCTGAGGGAGTGTCCTTCTATGTGGAGTGGGCTCCCAAAGTCCATTCGTATACTAGGGGTAAATACTGATCCACTACCAGAGGCCCCATAGACTGCCCAGTTCTCCAAACACCACATTCAGGGAATCTGGGTTGGTCCTATCCTGGTTTCCTAGCTATCAGACTGGAATCCATGAGATCCCCCCCTGTTCAGGTCAGCAGTTAATGTGGGTTTCTCCAGAGTGGTCTTGACCCCTTTGTTCATCACTCCTCCCTGTCTACAACTGGATTCCAAGAGTTCGGCTCAGTGTTTAGGTGTGAGTGTCTGCTTCTGCTTCCATCAGTTACTAGATGAAGGCTCTAGGATGGCAGATAAGGTAGTCATCAGTCTCATTATGAGGGAAGAGCATTTAAGGTAGCCTCTCCACTATTGCTTAGATTCTTAGTTGGTGTCATCCTTGTGGATCTCTGGGCGTTTCTCTAGTGCCAGATTTCTCTTTAAACCTGTAGTGGCTCCCTCTACTATGGCATCTCTTTTCTTGCTCTCTATTTTTTCCCTCACTCAATCTTCCTGCTCCACCATGGCCTCCTTTCTCCATAACTCCCTCTCCCCCCCCACCCCCATGCTCCCAATTTGCTCAGGAGATCTTATCCCTTTCCCCTTCTCCAGGGGACCATGTATGTCTTTCTGAGGGTCCTCCTTGTTTCCTAGCTTTTCTGGCGGTGTGGATTGTAGGCTGGGGATGAATCCTTTGTTCTATGTCTAAAAGCCATACATGAGTGAGTACCCAACATGTTTGTCTTTTTGTGATTGGGTTACCTCACTCAGGATGGTTTCTTCCAATTCCACCCATTTGCCAGCAAATTTCACCATTCCATTCTGAACCGTCTCTTTCATCCCCCTTTTTAGTTTCCTCAGACACTGACTGTAGCTTAGGCTGGCCTGGGGCTCTGATTACCCGTCTAGGCATCTCTTTTTTGATTACTTCTGTCTGACTGCACTCCTATTCTCTTGGCCTTTTAGGCTATGCAACTTTGAAATCAGGTTCTGGAACATAGATCACAGACCTTAAAAGTCCAGCCCCTCACAATCCTTTACAAAATAATGGGCCGATGGTAAGGTTGGGAAGGCCAAGCACCTGCAGGCCTCTGACATCCCGCCCTGCCCTTCAGGATACTCTGTGGCCTCTGTCCTGGGGCACTGGGTCGTCTGGCAGGGACTCTGGAGTTCCAGGTTCCTGATGAGGTGCTGGGGCTCATCTACGCTCAGACGGTGGTCTGGGTGGGAAGCTTTTTCTGCCCTTTACTACCTTTGATCAACACCGCCAAGTTCCTGATACTTTTCTGTCTGAAGAAGGTGAGGCTGAGGACCGTCCTGGAGTCTGAGCTGATGGGTGTTGGGGACTGTACTTCTGGGCTAGGGAAAGGATGATGCCAGGGCCACTGTAGACTGCACCCAGCAGGAGGGAGGAGGGCGCTGGAAGTCAGTCCTGGGTCCAGAGATAGTCTTCCCTTTAGGGCTGAGCAACAGGTGGCTTAGATAAGATAATCTGGGTCCTGCCTCAAAGGAAGCCAAAACTTCCAAGATGGGAAAAGAGGAAAATCAAAGGATTGAGTCTTGGGTCTTAAAGCTCCATTTCCTGACCTCTCCCCGCCAGATAACACTCTTCTCCATCTACTCACCGGCCTCCGGCACCTTCCGGGCTTCCATGGCAAATTTGTTTTTCCCCCTGGTGCTTCTTCTGGGTCTGGCGATCTCTGCTGTGCCGGTGCTTTACAGTATCTTCCTGTAAGTACAAGAGCCACCTGTTTCCAGCTGCGTGGACACGGGCTCCTCACCCTGGCCCAACGTCATTGAGCCCAGTGTGTCTCTGCCTGCAGGATCCCACCTTCTAAGCTGTGCGGCCCATTCCAAGGGAAGTTGTCCATTTGGGACCACATCCCTGAGTCCATTGAAAGCCTCCCTCAGATTGCCCAGAACTTTCTCTACTTCCTGGGGACCCAGGCTTTTGCCGTACCCCTTCTGATCCTCTCTTGGTGAGTGGTTCCAGATTTTGTGGTCAGTTTGGATGTGATATGTGGTTTAGTGTTTGAAAAAAGGGGGGTGGGAGGTGGGGGCTGGACATCTGAGTGTTAAGAGGGGGGTTGCTGCCTGGGTATCTATGTGGGATGGAAGAGAACAGGGGTCTACATAGATCTGGGTTGGGGGTCCGGACTCCTGAGTCTAAGGGAGGAGGGCAGAGGTGTGGACTCCTGGATCTGAGGCAAGAGAAAATGGAAAACTGGCCCTTGGAGTCTCAAGAGGGTTTTGAGGGTCGTGATCCTGGTTTCTAAGGAGCCATATGATGAGTGTGTGTGTGTGTGTGTGTGTGTGTGTGTGTGTGTGTCTTTTCTGGAATGACTTTCATTCCTGTCTCCCTTAGCATCCTGATGGTGTATTCAGTAGCCCTGGCTAACTCTTACGGACGCCTCATTTCTGAGCTCAAACGCCAGATAGAGACGGTGAGCCAGGGTGGTTCCCCGGCAAGGGCTCCCTGAGAACATGGGAAGGGCATGGGTGAAGAGAAGGAGTGCCTCACTTCCACCCCTTTTTGCCCTCAGGAAGTGAAGAATAAAGTCTTTCTAGCCCAGCGAGCTGTGGCTCTGAGCTCAGCGAACGGAGGAGCTATCTGACAAGTCTTGTTGGAAATGCCGTCCCACCTTCAGCCCCTCAGACCCATTACACACCTCAGTATATGGTACCTTCTCGTCTCTAGGATCGAGTGCTACGCCCTCCACCACCACGTGCCACATTCTCAGTTGAACCGTATTAATAAACAACAGCCGGAGTCGCTATGCATTTTGAAAATGGTCCTGAAGCAGCGGACAGGGTGTTGGGTTGTGCCTGGGAGAAGGGCTAGCTAGGCAGACCCGGCATCATCAGCCTCATAGAGCAGCGTCCGGGGTGGAGCAGGTCAGGTTGTAAACATTTACGATTGGCTGCGGTGGAGAGCTTCTTAGCCAATCACCTCCAAACAAGGTCATGAGTGGGCGTAGCAACTGGCCCAGAACCAATGCGCAGGCAAGGGTGGGGCCTCGGGGCGGAGCATCCTCGCGCCAATCGGAAGTGTTGCAGAGTGGGCCTGCTGCTCGGAGGTCAGCGACGGAACCATGAATATCTTGCCCAAGAAGAGCTGGCACGTCCGAAACAAGGACAATGTCGCCCGCGTGCGGCGCGACGAGGCCCAGGCCCGGGAGGAGCAGAAGGAGCGTGAGCGGAGGGTGCTGCTCGCTCAGCAAGAGGTAAGCCTGGGGCTGGCCCGGAAGCGCGGCCGGCCTGTCTGCGGGTCTCTCGGTTGTCTGTGTTTGGCGATGTTTCTCCGCAAATCCTTTGCTAACTTCCACGAGACCGTCCTAGATCCCCCCCCCCCACTGGCGTAGTTGAAGTGAGTAGCACATAAGAGTGGGGGCAGATATTCTGATTACTTTACGGATTGTCTGCACAAGCTAATTACTGAGCAGCCGCTGTATGTGTGTCCCCCTCGAGCAGAGCGCTAGACTTGAGAAATCCCTCTCAGAACAACTTTGAGTCCTTACCTTAAAGGGGTGCGGTAGGCACTGACTGCAAAGGTCTAACGAGGAGGGCAAAGGGCGGGCAAGCTGGAGTCCACACCGTTAGACACGTTTTTCTCCATAATTGCCACCCCCACCCCCACCCCAGATAAACACACCCAGAGGCTTGCTTTCTTTGAAACGGGGTCTGTGTAGCCCTGGCTACCCTGGAATTGGCTATGTATTCCAGGCTGGTCTCGAGCTCTGAGATCTGCCTCTGCCATCTCAATGTGGGATTGAAGACCACACATACATGCACAGGCGTTAGTAATTTCTCAGTCATTTTGGTTTACAATTAAGTCCCTTGGCCAATCTGATCATGAAGTAGTGTGGGTTTTTAAAATTTTCGAGGCTGTTGGAAGCACGTGCCTTTAATCCCCAGCATTCAGGAGGCTGAGTTTTGCCTGATAAGCTGTATTTGGGAGTTTGTGCATGTGTATGCTGGGCTACCCAATATAGCCCAGTGGTTTTTGATAGTTGTTTTTCTAGCATCACTCCAGGCTGGGAAGCCTTCTGTTTTAGGTTGGGGAATCTCCCAACTGTTTAAAAACACGCCTTTAATTCCAGCACTCAGGAGGCAGAGGCAGGCGGATTCTCTGTGAGTTTGAGACCAGCCTGGCCTACAAAGTGAGTTCCAAGACAGCCAGGACTGTTTCGCAGAGAAACCCTGTCTCAAAAAACAAAGCCAACAACAAAAACAATCTCCACTCCAAATTCAAAATGGCGTCTCTTCTGGTTCCCAGTACCTCTCTACCCACCCCCACTTTTTTTTAAAAGGTTTTTCAGGATAGGGTTTCTCTGTGTAGCTTTGGAGCCTGCCCTGGAACTCTGTAGACCAGGCTGGCCTCGAACCCACAGAGATCCACCTGCCTCTGCCTCCTGAGTGCTGGGATTAGAGGTGGGTGCCACCAGCAACTGGCCCACGGCCCTTTCTTATAGTCCCCAACACTTCTAGGTTCTGAATGTCCTGCCCATAACTTTCTTCTCAGGCCCGAACAGAATTCCTACGGAAGAGAGCCAGGCGTCAGAACTCACTGCCCGAGCTAGAAGCAGCAGATGCTGGAGCTCCAAGTTCTGGCCCTGTGGACCTGTTTAGGGGGCTGCTGGAAGAGGGGGAAGGAGTACCCAGAGGCAATAAAGAGCATGAAGAGGAGAAGCGACAGGAGAAGGTAGGCTGGGGGCCTCTGTCGGCTGACTGGGGGTGAGGGCGGGGGCTCTGGCTGCGACTAGCTTCTCCGTATTGTTTTCGAGCCTATCCTGGCACCCAGTCACCACTATGCTTAGGCTGTTTCTGATGTTAACCTTACATAGCTGGTTTGAGATGAGACCTCAGCTAGAGACCAGGGTGCCCTCCCACCACCAACCCCCCTGCTTTGGCCTCTTGAGTGCTAGCCCGGTGTATGGACAGATGGCACTTGTGGATTGTACTGTGGCTCTCCTGCACCCCCCCCCCCTACTCTGAAGGTGCTGGATTCCACTGAAATCGCTCCTCTGCTTTGCTTTAATTTCCCTTAGACTCCCCTGCCCCTTGCACTGGCTACTCTCCTCCTCCTGCAGACTAGCCCTTGGCACTTAGCATTTCTGGTCCCTGGTCTGATTTCCCTTGTTGAATGGCTACCTACCAGGCCCGGCCTCTCTGGGAACTCAGGCCCTGGGTTTTCCTAATGCCATGTCTAGGGCACCCAGAGGAACTTGGAAAGACCATTTTGTCTTCTTGCCCCCACAGGAGAGGCAAGAGAAAGCACTAGGCATCTTGACGTATTTGGGCCAGAGTGCAGCAGAGGCCCAAACTCAGCCTCCTTGGTACCAGCTACCCCCAGGGCAAGGGGGCTGCCCTCCAGGCCCGAGCTCAGATGAGAAGATCAAGAACCGGTTGGACCCCTTGAGGGAGATGCAGAAGCACCTGGGAAAGAAAAGGCACAGCAGTGAAAGCCGTTCTTCCAGAGAGGAGCGGCTTCAGAAACAACGGCCCAAAGAGTAAGAGTGGATTCTTAGAGTGTGCTCTGGAGACCTCCTTAGAGACAGACTTCATTTAGGATTTTTCTTTTCATGTATTATATATAGTGTTCTGTCTGCATGTATCCCTGCAGGCCAGAAGAGGGCACCAGATCTCATTGCAGATGGTTGAGAGCCACCATGTGGTTGCTGGGAATTGAACTGAGGACCTCTGGAAGAGCAGTGGTTCTTAACTGCTGAGTCTTCTCTCCAGCCCCTTCCTTAATTTAGGGTTTTAAGAATAGCATCTCCTCTTATTGCTAAGGGTATGTGTGGATGCTTGTGTGCAGGATTTCTGTTTTTTCTTTTTTAATGTGCATGGGTATCTGCCATGTTTGCTTAAGCACCATATACAGGCTGGTGCCTTTAGAGTAGAAGGCACTAGATCCCCTGAAACAGGAGTGATACAATTGTGAGTCACTCACTATACAGTACTGGCAGTCAAACCCCTCTTCTAGAAGAGAAGCCAGTGCCCTTAACCACTGAACTACCCAGCCCCAGTTTTGTTTTGAGACAGGGTGTCTCTATGTAGCTCTGCTGACCTCTGCCTCCCAACTGTTAGGATCAAAGGTGTGTGCCACTGCACCAAGCTCAGTTCCTTTTCATTTCTAACCCAGTAGGGAGGGACATGTGAACACACAGATGCAACCTCCTGTCAGGTGCTGGCAGTGCTCCGGGGGAAGAGGACGCAGAGGCAGGCAGACCTTGAATCCAAGGCCAGCATGGTCTACAAAGTGAATTTCAGGACAGCCAAGGCTACACAGAGAAACCGTCTCAAAAAACCTGCCTTAAAAGATCTTTGTGACACTCAGGTTTTTATTTTTCCTCTATAAATGTCCTGTTGTGTTGCTTGTGAAGGCTAGACAAGGACACCAGGTATCTTCCGTATCAATTTCCATCTTACTCTTTGTACTGGCTAGTTTTTTTTTTTTTTAATTCTGCCTACAGGCCAGAAGATGGTATCAGATCCCATTACAGATGGTTGTGAGGGGAACCATGTAGTTGCTGGGAACTGAACTCAGGACCTCTGAAGAGCAGCCAGTAGTGCTCTGAGCCATCTTTTATGTTTCTGAGATAAGGTCTCATTATGTGGTCCTAGCTATCCGAGAACTGGCTGTGTAAACCAGGCTGGCCTTGAACTCATCTACCTTCTAAGTGCCCCTTTCTCTGGAACAGCAGAAGGTGGCACACACAGAACGGCCTCCTAATAACCTTGTTCTTTTGAGACAAGGTTTTACGTAGTCCTGGCTGTCCTGGAACTGGGATGTCTGCCTGCCTCCCGTGTTGGAAACGAAAGTTTAAGAATAAAAGCATGCTTCTGTCTGTAAGATGCCGGGTTCAGCAGGGGCTCTGTCAGGCTAACCTCTTTTTATCTGAAAATGGTGCAGGGGCCCCAGTATGCTGACTGCCCAGTGTGCTTGCTTGACCTGGAGGGTCCTCTAAGAACCACAGGCAGGCACAGCCCCAAAGTGAGTCTATGAATGTAAGCTTTCTGCTCTTGGTCTCCTCTCTGCAGGCCGCCTTCCCTAGAACAGCTCCGGGCTGAGCGCCGTCAGCGGGAAGCGGCTGAGAGGGCTCGAGCGGAGGCCCTGCTGGCCCGGGTACAAGGCCGAGCATCCCAGCAAGGTCAGGCAGAAGTGGAGGAGACAGATGAACGGAGGCGGCGGTACAACTCCCAGTTCAACCCCCAGCTGGCCCGGCGCCCCCGCCAGCAGAACCCCACTCCTGCCCACTGACTCTTGGGGGGATAGGAGGGGCTGCAGCTGCCAGCCGTCATATAAAACTATTTATTCATAAATATTTTCCAAAATGAAAATAGGTTTACCAAAAAATGTCCCTCACTGGGGAGGGGAGGAGGGGGCAGCTCTCGCCCCCAGGGTAGGGCAGAGAGGAAGAGAAAACCTCCCTGCCCTTTCCCTGCTTCCTGGGGGGGAGGGTGCCCCATGGCCTTGGGCCTCCCCCAGTCTTCCAGGGCAGGGCCCTCACCAGGGCAGGGGGATCAGCATGCGGGGGGAGGGGTCAGGTAGAGGGGCCGGTGTCACTGGAGGTCCCGGTCCTCCAGGTAGCGGTACTCAAAGGTGAAGCCTTCCTTCTTCCGCTGGCCCCACTTCTCGTAGTCAAAGTAGATGTAGGTGCCCTGGCCGGGGAAGAAGGTGGTCAGTGAGTGGGCGAGGAGGGGGCTAGGACCTGGGCCAGCTGTCAGGAACATAGAGGTGCCAGGCCAACCGCCCTACATGCTTGCAGTTGCACTCCACCCTGGGTGATTTTGGAGTGGAGAAGGGGGGACGAAGAGAGAGGGCCAGGCCCCAGGTGGGCCTGCATGCTTTCTTTACAGCTCTGGAAGGCCTCAGCTAAGTACCACACCAACACAGCCACGAGGCCTAGCTTATGTTCAGACACTGAAGGATCAGATGCAGCATCTACATCCTAGTGCTCTGCAGGGACGCACAGCACACTTCACTACAACTGAGATTCTGAGTGACTCAATGCCCTGAGATGTATTAATGTCGAGGACCAAACCAGGGTGGGAGAGGATACAGCAAAAAGAAACTGGCTGGGTCAAGTGTCTGAAATGCTTCCAAGTCGTCTGGAAGAACGTGAGGGACGGAACAGAGTTGTGTGACAATGGGGACCAATGAGAGTCAGCTTGGCACCTGGAAGTGTAGGTGGGGGGAAATGTGTACAGGGAAAGCCACTGTGGAGCACACCAACTGAAAACAATTAAAATCTCCACGACGCTCACTGTACAGCAGGCACCATTAGTACTGACATGTTATTAACTTATTTAATCCTTGTAACAACTGCAAGAGATGGGTGCTGATACTCCCATTTTTACAGATAGAGAAACAAATGAAGAGAGGTTGGACTGACTTGTCCACAATCATCCAGAGAGAGCTGGGCTCAGACCCAGATCAGCTGGCTTTGGGGTATTTGGGGGTGGACTTTCTAATGAACTAATGGCTGAGGCTTGAGAAGGCTGCCTAAGCAGACTTCCTTCCAAGTACGCACAGCCCCAACCAGCTCAGTCTGCTGCTTGCCGGGAAACGAAGAAGGGGCCACTGAGGTCAAGAGATGACAACTACTCAACCAAAGTGCCCAGGGCTGCATGGTGCAGGCAGTGAGCTGCTCTTTGGGAGAAGTTAACAGTGGCTCAGACCCCAAGCACTAGGAATTCAGCAAATGGAGAGGGGTAGCATCTGAGGCCAGTCTGGTCTGTCTACAGGACTGTGCTTAAAGGTCAAAGGCCAGAAGGACTAGGTCTGGGGACACTAGCCATACCCCAGTGGTACCAGGGTGGGCGGGGCCCTCACCTGCTCAAACTCATCTGTGATGGTCTTGGGCTCCTCGTGCCTCTGGAACCACATCATGTACTTGGTGTGGAAGCGCCAGGACTGCTTCTTCAGGGCCTTGGCTGCCAAGTACTGTGCCTTGGTTCCCTGGGGGGGGGGGGGGGGAAATGCACAGGAAGATTGGGGAGGGAGCAGGGGGACAGGGCAGGGTATCAGGGCTGGACCCAGGCCCCATCTCAGAGTCCACTTGGGGACAGTGCTGGGAGCACAAAACATACCACGGTCAGAAGAAAATGAGACAGGTGAGGAAGACCAGAAACTAATGCATAATGAAAGCTGAGAGGAGACTGTGTGTAGGAACTCAACTCAAGGGGAGATAGATAGGGAGGGGCTGAGTCACTGCAATCAGGAGGTCACACAGTTAGTTCCCAGAGGTCTCCAGGGAGGCCTTGAGAGCCTACTGCACTCAGGGGCTCTACCAGGAGCTGAGCGCTCTTGGCAGCACAAAGTGCACACACAGCCTAGGGCCTGCAGTCTCTCCCTGAGTCTGAGCAATTGGAATGTCTTGGGACTGGACAGGTTTGATTTGAGGGGGCCTGGGGTGGGGAGGGGTGCGGTCCCAGTGACCGCAGTGGGACACCCACCTCGCCCCTCCAGCCCGAGGGGGAATGGCAGCGGTGGCGGCGGAGCTGGGGGGCCCGAGGCTGCCCCAGGGGCCCTGCTGTACCTCCAGATAGTAGAAGATGAAGAAGAGTGTCTCAGTTGACAGGCGCTGGTAGAACTCCACGGTGTCCGAGTGTGGGGGTGGCATCTGGTGGTGGTAGGGGGGCGTCGGGCAAGGGTTCCGGGGGAGGTACTGCCTGTGAACCGAGAGGGTTTAGTACCAGGTGACTTCCAGTTCCTGCTCTGGCTTCAGAGGCTGTTCAGAAGCACACTTTAACCAAGCCACGTCCTCAGCACTGCCAGACAAGTACTCTACCTAGTCTCTCAGGACCCAGGAACCAGCTCCTCCCTCAGACTGGGGAGTCCCGGGCCCCAGCCCCTTTCTGCAGCCCCTCACCGAATGCGCTCGGAGTCAGAGGGGTGGGGCATGTGGTGCCAGGCGGCCTCTTCCATGGCCTGCTGGTAGAGCTGCTCCTTGGTGAGGGACACTGGCCCGAGTGGACAGACGCCCAGTGACAATGGTATGTTCACCTCTGACAGCTGCAGGGGTGGCTGGGCTGAGGTGGGGGGTGCTGATGTGCTGCTCAGGATGATGTCTGTAGGGAGGGATGGGGCACCAGGCCCCTCAATGATGAGGATGTGATCAGTTCCTTCTTGGCTTTTGCCCTCCCCACCATTCCATGACTATCACCTCGCTCTGTTAGGTGTAACGTTGGCACAGGGTCCTCAATACCAGAGCTGATAGCTGCCCGTTCTGCCATGGATTTCAGAGAGCTCAGCGGTTCAGGGGCCTGGGAAGAGAAGGGGGATGAGCCTCAGGACCAGGAGCAGAGACTGGGCTACAGAAAACTGCAAAGCCTGATGTGACGGGCACACTCTGCCTACTCTGCCGTTGCCGGTTCCCTATTTGCAAGATCTGCCCATATTATGAGAAAACATTGTGGCGGTAGGGAAGCTGAAATCTGAGGTCACCATCAGAACATGGTCCAGTGACTCTCCACGATACATTCCAGAGCAAACAACACCCTACAAAACACGGTGGACAGGCCATAGCATACACTTCCATAAAGACACTACGTGCTAGGGAAATAAATGCCCACTGGACTGCCCACAGTAATAAGACATCTTGAGGGAGGTGGCTGGCAGGATTGCAGGCTCTGCTGTTGCTTTAAGGGTTTCGGCCATCCCTTGGGCATCCAGTCTCCTTGGGAACGTCAGTGGGTGGAGCCTGCAACCCCCACACTGCTTTCCCGGATGAAGCAGTTTAGGGCTGGCTCTTCTACCCACTCTGTACAAACCTTCCGTCATCAAAGCCCACCCACAGACCTGCACCCCAGCGCTCTTGGAGGGACTCATTCTGTACCAGTCACAGCCAGTAAGGCCTAGTCCTTTTCCCCCGTCATCCCACCCACAGCCTCAGGAGCCTCTCCATAAGGTGTCACTTGTTTCTTCTCCCCGCACAGCACAACCATGCTAGAGCCCCATCAACCACTCAGAAGAGCTCTAACACACAGGATGGGCTCAGGGCCTGCCCGAGAGCTCACCTTGATCTCTGGGGTGGCGCTGAACTGTGGAGGACCATTGAGCAGGGTGCCAGCTGCCTTGGCCTCACTGAAGCTGGGCGTTGGAGAACTGGGGGGATTCACAGGCAGTGGCACCAAGAGGCTGGGTCCCCCTGAGTTGTTCCCTGAGCCTGAAGCCACATTCCCAGCCCCCGTTGAGGCTGCCGTACTGGATTCTTTTCTGCGTACAGAATGGAGACGACTCAGACTAAGGTCCCTATACAGAAAATGGGGTCCAAAGGGGGCAGCCGAAGGCAAAACAGCTGGGGCAGGCAGGGACAGAGCCAATCTCTGGGGTTCTCTTCGGTACAGCAGAGGTACTGAGTAGGGAATACAGGATTTTAGGATGGGGCACGGGGTAGTTCTAGAGCTGGCACTGGGGCAGACTGAGGCTGAATGAAGTAGCCTTGCAGACACACATAGTGCAATCCACTAAAGCTGCTCATGCCAGGGGCAAGGTGGCACATCTTTCCTTCAACATGTGTTTAGAAACACCTGGAGCAATCTGATGTCACTTGCAGAAATGGAGGACTAGGACATTTTACTTGGCAAGGGGGGAAAAAAAGCCCCCACGCCCATGGAAGACAGGTTGCTTCAGAGCAAAGAACAGAAACAGGGCCATGTGGTGATGGCCGCATGCCTTTAGTCCCAGCACTCAGGAGGCAGAGGCAGGTGGATCTCTGTGAGTTCAAGACCAGCCTGGTCTACAAGACCTAGTTCCAGGATGGACTCCAAAGCCACAGAGAGACCGTCTCGAAAAACAAAACAATAACAGAAACAGGGAGACAGCAATCTGAAACCTAGAGTAAAAGAACGAGAGAGGACAAAGCTGGGAAGTAATGTACACGTCCTGGGTGGTAAGAAGTTGGGACAGAAACCCTGCTGAGACGAAGGCAGAGTGCCCTGGACACTACCCAAAAAAGCGCAGGACTTGGGGCCGGCAGCAAGGGTGGCATGAGAGGCTGCCGAGCCCCACCTCACCCCCGGAACTCACGAGGTGATGGGAGCTGGGTTGTGAGGGCCAGAGGCGGGCCCCAGGGCCTGGCTGCTGGCACTGCTGCCCGCACTGCTGCTCAGCGCCACCTCTGCAGGGCTGTCTGCAACAACCGCACTGTAGCCTGGGAAAGAAGGGCAAGTGTAAACAAGCTGTAGCCACTGCCCGCCTTGCCCTGTCCCCCAAACTGGCCTGCACTTACTGGTGGCACCGTTCTGCTTGCCAGCCCCTCCGCCTGTGCCACTGTTACTATTGCTGCTGCTCCCTCCGCTGCCACCACCACTTCCCCCGCTCGGCTGGGCACTGG